GTTTTATATTTTTCGATTCCCCCCGAAATATTATTAATTTTAATTATCCACCAAAATCGACAATAGGCGGTCGTTTGACCATCTATAAGTAAATTCTATTGGACCTAGATATTATTCCAAAAATGAATTTCATCATCAAAAGATGATGATACAATCTATTCGAAATTTTTGTCATTTTTATCTGTTTAAAATCGAATAATTATGTCGCAATTTCCTGGTTTATCGGGGTCAACAGTTTTGGTTGTGAGAATTGGACATATAACACAAAGAAAGCCGAAACACGTGCGCCATAAATTACCGATTTAATTACTTGGGCCTCGCTTTTAATATTTTTAAGAATTTGATTTAGATGATGACACAGGCTTGGTGACGAAAAACCTAATATAATTTTGAACGTATTTGGGGTCAACGTTAATTTGTTTCATTTTCAATTTATTGATACTGATTTGAAATACAGGAAATTCAGTTTTTGAATATTTGATTACATTTAATTTTTACAGTAAAGACATTGTAATATCATGTCTATTTTTCCCGGGTCATTACATAACATAACATAAGAAATAACATAACAAAAGATAAAAAGTTGACCTTATGGAAACCCCTTATGGCGATTGATTATACAGAAAATAACATAACATATAAGAAATAAGAAAGTTGATTGACTTTTAACTTTTATGTCTTATTTTATGTGAAAACGAACCTGCGCATGCTCATCCTTTGATATCGACATATGGCGGCGTAGTAAACAACATTCCAAATAAAACAAAATTATTTTGATTTTGGTTTCGGCTTTTGGTAATTTCTTGGATTCGGTATTTATTTTTGTTTTTGCTGAATTATTAATTAATAAACTTTTTCATAAAATATTCTGTTTTCGGTAGAGTTTACATAAGTACAAGTACCAGCTGATTGGTTAGAAATGATTTCTAATGTTATGTTATTTTCTGTATAAACGCCACAAAATTCTTATTTATTATGTTATGTTATGTCTTATTTCATCTTATTTCTTATGTGCTGTATAAACCCACCTTTAGTCTTTCAAGTAACCCCATATGGAAAAATCAAATGCGGAAAAGAGGGTGGGAGATGGAGTGTATCGGGTGAACCCGTTTTTTCAATCTGATGATTGGGTACGAAATTATTGAGAAATCGTGTAAATATGCTATTACGATGTGCCGCCTGTACCGGGTCACCATCTTGAAAGTATTGTCGGTTTCTGTTAACAATCAACCGAAGATCATCTAACATATTCTGGAAATCATTCTGTAAAAATCGAGGGTACCTTTTACAATTTGGGTTCTCGTCGAAAGAAATGGACCCACTACTATTGGAGTCGAGAATTTCAAGCCAAACATTGATACCTACCGTAACCTACCTACCGAATCTTTCCTGGAAAGCTGTCTCTCTATAGGGCCCCACAGACTGCGTTTTTGTTGGACGGTTTTGGTCGAGCAAAAATGACGCAAAACGTGTGTGTGCAAAAAATTGATGTTTTTGCTGGCATACAAAACCGATGCAAATATCTGGCTTCGCCTGATTTTGTCCGTTGGATATGTTCGATATATCAACAAATCTGAAGTGTGTGGGCTAGGAATTTTAATAACGACGGTTTTGCGTAGCTACAGAATTTTATATGGGTATTTAAAACTTTTCAACATGACTGATCTTCGCCAAACTAAACCAAGGTTTGTGTGCAACTCCGATCCGTCGTTTTTGCTCGACCGATTTGCTCGTCGAACAGAACTGTCAAACAAAAACGCAGTCTGTAGGGGCCTTTCGAATGTGTTGGTTTCCATGGGTCCAACGATGGAGGATGGTGGATATTGCAATTAAAGTATCCGTCATTGCATCTCTGGTCATTGCAATGACAAAACGTCAAATTACCTCTTGTGTCAACCTGTTTCATCTTGAACTGGAGTTTACCAATGATGAAAAAGTTGATATGATCTCTGTCTATGCAAGATGTATGCGCAATTCAAATAACGCCATTCAATTATACGCAAAGTATCCTGAGAGGAGATTTCCCAATACTAGGTATTTCGCCAAGCTTGAAAGAAACTTGCGAGAAAATGGATCTTTCAGTATACCTAAATAACGTGATGCGACTGCAACATTAGAAAAGGGGGAGAATGAAATAAATGTCCTAGGTATGATTTTCCTATTTCAGCTATAATTTTAATTTACAATAAAATAAATCTTCTAGGGTACTTACATTACAAAAACAGCAATAATTAAGATGTTGCATTGTGCGAAATTGAAAACGCCACAAATGTAGCAAAATCATCGGCAAGAAAAATTCTGCATCATCATAAGTTCAAACCTTATCGTTGCCGGAAGATTCAGCACTTGAGGCCTATCGCTTTCCAAAGAAGGCGAATATTTTGCAGATGGATTTTGCGAAAAAACAGACAAGTCCTGATGAAAGCCGGTTTTGCAATAACGTGTGGCTAGTCGCAATATTCACTATCGTTGGATCCATGGAAATCAACACATTCATAGAGAGACAGCTTTCCAGGAAAGATTCGGTATCAATGTTTGGCTTGGAATCCTCTACTCCAAAATAGTGGCTCCCTTTTTTTTCGCAGAAAACCTAAACGGTAGAAGTACCTGCGATTTTTGCGGAATAATTTGCAGGATATGTTAGACGATATTTCGTTGATTGTATACAGAAACTTCCACTACTTTCAACAAGATGGGTGCTCCGGCAAATCTGGATCGCAAATGTACAAGATTTTTCAATAATTTCGTACCCAATCGTCGTTGGATTGATAATAACGGTCCCATAAACTGGCCGCCTCGATCACTCGACCTTTCCCTATTGGATTTTTCCATATGGGGTTATTTAAAAGATCGAGTATTCAAAACTAGTCCCTTGGATTTAGATGATCTAAAACGTAAAATTCGAGTAGCCTGTAGCAAAATCTCTCCCAGAATGCTGCGAAACATCCAAACGAGGGTGATTGAAAATGCAAGACTGTGACGTGGGCAACATTTTCAGCACTCACAATAGATATACCACTTGCATGTTTTAAATTTGAATATATATTTTGTATTTTGTTTTGTTTCGTTTGTTCTGTGTTATACAGACAAACAATAAAAAAATATACCTAATCCTGCAAGAAATGCGATTTTTAAGCTGTGTGTGGAATAGATCAGGTCCGTACTACGGAAAAAGTATTGATGATGGCTATTTCCATACCGAAGTGCCGGGAAACATGCCTGAGCTATAGGTCATTTTGAAGGAAGAGAAAAATTCTTTTAAAAAATGAAATAAAAACTCCAGGATCGTAATTAAAAAAATGAAGTTGGTACTGATATCTCAAAAACTAAAAGCCATGAGAAAATAAAAATTACGCCATTTTGTAGAGAAGAAGAAATCCTGAAACTTTTGAATTAGATACTTTTTTCAAAAGTTGCAACTTTTTGAAATATTCAATAAATAAGTTTTAGGCATTTTTCACATTTTCCGTTATATCTTGGAAACGAACAAAAATTTGGCAACCCTGTGAACTTACCTTCAATGGACACTAAAATCTGTTACTTTTGTCTATTTTAATCAACCTCGTACTTCTTACCGTTTCGGAGATAGCAATAGTGGTATCACTTAAAACAGACCCTGTAAGGCATTTCATTTGAAAAAAGTTGAGAGTACGCAAAATTTCGAATTTATGACAATAATTTTCTGTTTCTGACGATGGATTTTAAAAATTTAGTTAAAACTGCACAACTTTTGTATTTACACCTACCATCTACCTGTAAAAGTAAAAACTGCAGGTGGGGGGTCGAAATATAGTGAATGACCCGGTACACTGTGTTTTTTTATCTTTGCTATCATTTTGATCACCTGTATGTACAGGGTGGCCAAGCGAAAAACAAGAAAATGTTTTTTCAATTTTCGTTAATTAGTAGTTGTCTACCTTCATTACAGGTTCAACTATGACATTTGTCAAATCGAAAAAACTAGTTGTGTTATAAATTCATAACCTAGTCCATAACACCACTATTTGTGTTATGAGTCTCATAACATATATAAAATAATATACAGGGTGTCCATTTAGTGCGATATCGGAAGGTATCTCCTTACAGGGTGATGCAAGAAGAAAAAGTTAAATTACAAAGTTGTTTGATATTCTAATATGCATTAGTTAAAAATATTTTTGAATATACAGGGTTTTCCGTTTATGAGGTATGCGACAGAACTTTGCTATTTTAAATGGAACACCCTGTATGTGATTGCATATTTGGATTCTACGTAAAACTCTAAACAGATTTCCTAAAATATACCCTATACCTAAGTTGAACTGTTTTGGAAATACTGACAGTTGAAAATTGACTTTTTTAAAGTTTGACAGGCTGTGAAACCTTAACGGTTAATTTTACAGCAAAACAGATTTTACATTCCTGTCTTAGATTTTCATGAACTATCATTTGACACCAACTTTGAATTTAATCCATGATTAAAAATTCCAGCCAAATTTAATCTCCTGTTAAATTCAAACTTGGTGTCAAATGATAGGTTATGAAAATCTAAGATAAGAATGTAACATTGGTTTTCCTCTAAAATTAACCGTTTAGGTTTTACAACCTGTGAAGTTTGCAAAAAGTCAATTTTCAACTGTCAATATTTCCAAAACAGTTGAACCTAAATATGGGGTGTATTTTATGAAATCTGCTCAGAATTTCACGTAGAATTCAAATATGCAATCACATACAGGGTGTTCCATTTAGAATAACAAAGTTCTATCGCATACCCCATAAACGGAGCACCCTGTATATTCAAAAATATTTTTAACTGATGCATATTAGAATATCAAACAACTTTGTAATTTAACTTTTACTTCTTGCATCACCCTGTAAGGAGATATCGTCTGATATCGCACTAAACGGACACCCTGTATATAACATATATAACTCAAATACTAGAAAAATGGTTATGTAAAAACGTCATAACTAAAAGCTTGTAGATAAAAAAAAAAAGCTATATTTTTACTGATACTCACCGTGAAACAGACTTTGTTTTTACACCTAGGTTCCTCATGTCCTTCAAAGCCACACAAAAAACACCTAGGTAGCTCTTGCTTATTTGGACAACGCATTGCTATGTGTCCAGTCTGTCTACATTTTCTACATCTTGGACCACAAGCGGGAGTTTTTACTTTGTTTATATCTTTAGTATTCACCTGCCATTTGAGCGGATCATCTGACATCCTACTTTTTATATTTTCAATATCGAAATCTTTAAGCTTATCGTCATTTTTCCTCTCATTTTCTATGTTTGCCAGTTGGAGTTCCTGTCCTAAATCACCGAAGCTGATGATATCATCCTCTGATTCTGAAGATTGAATAACGTGGAGTGGAATCGGTTTCTCGATTATCAATATGTCATCATCTTCATCAACTGTAATTAAATTATCCTCTACTTTTTCTTCATCCTGGCCTACTCCATTAACTTCTTTATCTGCAAAACTATTTTGCTTGCTGGATGAATTTCGTTTTGTTTTCTTATTCTTTTCAGCCTCTTTATTGTCATTTCTTTCAAAATTATTGTCACTTTTGCGCTTCTTGCACTCTTCTTCAGTCACTTTAGTGCAAGTTGTTTCTTGATCACCTTCCATCGGCCCTTTATCAAAATCATTTCCGAACATGTCATTTTGTTCCTCTTCAGTAATAATTAAATCAATTTCAGCATTGGATTGATCAACTCCGTCATTGAGATTCTCGACTGCTTTGTTTTTCTTTTTCTTTTTTTTCTTTTTTCTCAATGGAACAATGTCAGCGTTCTCTTCACCTGCTTTTTGACTCCGTAGTAACCAGCGTGTGCGTCCTTTCCTCGTCATCAAATCGCCTACAATCTGTTCTGTTTCCCCTCGAAGTTCTTCAATTTCGTCAAAAAGGCGAAGGTGAGCCCGTAGGGCTATTTCCTCCTTACGAGTTCTGTCAGCCTGTGGTATTATTTCCTCCCTGCCTGTTTTGTTTTTTTTCTTCATATTTTTCTTTGGTAATTCGTTTTTTTTAGCTATTTTCTCGGTTTTTATTGTAGGAGCGGTTGCACCTTTTGTTAAGCTACTAGTTGTGGTGTGAACATCAGATTCGTCTGATTTTTCCAAATCTTCATTAGTAGTATCTCCTAAAACAAAATAATATATATTTTTTTTTTAGAATAAAATTTTTGGATGAAGTTCAAATTCAAAATTTTTGAGATGAAGTCCGGATAATTTTTCTACGAAAAACCTAATAGACAATATAGAGAGTTATTGGAACTATTGAATAATGGATACTGCTTCTCAGTATTAAGGATCTACGTTATTTTATTAGTGCATCAGCACTATTTCTTCAAGAAAATAACAGTTATTGGAAGACTGTAGTAGGTGTTAAGTATTCTTGCCTTTTTATTCTCATCAAATTTCAACGATGGATCCACCATTCTACGTCGGTCATTGTCATTTTCCATTCACTAAAGAAAGATCGTCATCTCATCGGTGAATTCACTGATGAGAATAAAAACGAGGGGTATTACCTTATTTTTTATTCATAATTTTTACAGCTGATAGCTATGTTTATAAAGTTCAACCTCAAAAAGTGTTTATTTTTGTTTGTGATTTTCTTCTGATATCCATTTTTCGATGCTACCCACAGTAAAATGGAAAACTACTGTAAAAAATAAATTTTCTAAGTAAAATTACGTCATCGTCGAAAAGCGAAACGTCAAAGTGGTCCAAATTCTCAGAAATTTGGAATAGGGGAAGTTTAATGCCTCGCACTAACCATAGACAATAGACAAATAAAGACAAGCAGTAACCTTATTAAGGGAATCCTTATTTTCCGATCAAAATGCGCATGCGTAGATGTCAAAATAAGGCTAATTCAAATACTGCTTGTCCTTATTGCACGTCCAATAATTCTCTAATAACTGCTAATCTAAGAAACAGGGCAGTTTGCGAAGATGTGCTCTTTCTGACGCTTAGCATAGACGTATACGGTATACGTTAACCAAACCGCTATTTGACAGTTCTCGAGAAAGCGTTTTCGAATCGACCGTTAACGGAAAGGATTTTCTGTCAGCCGTGGTATCCTTACCACTGTAGTTAGGGCTGCCATCCGTCCGGATTTCCCCGGATTTGTCCTAGTTTTTGAGGCGCCTGGGGACGTCCGGGGGGATGTTTTGTGGTTCTCAAAGGCTTAAAATAAACGCTTTTGGGCGTGGCACCCAAAAAAAAGTTCTACTTCCGGCGGCGCCTGCGGCGGGTTACTCCCTAGTGGTGTCCGGGTTTAAGGAGTTAGAATCCGGGGTTTTTGTAGAAATTGTCCTAGGTAACAAATTTTATAAATGGCAGCCCTAACTGTAGTTACTTCTAACCTAATTGTCATTTTGATGTGTCGTGTTGTTTATATTTTGAAGATGTACAGGGTGTCCGAATTTGGATGGTTTTAATAGGAAACGTCAATTTCTGGGCAAGATACAACAAAATGAACCCCCCACTCCGAGGCTCAAATTTCTTGAAATTTTGATTGGTGCAAACCGTATTTTGATATCTTCAACCGTTTAGCCGCTAGAGGGCGATTCTCGATTTTGAGCAATACTGTGAAATCTTCATAACTTTTTTGTTTATGAAAATAACTGATTTCCGTAAAAACTTCCTGGAAGCACTTTTTTAAGCAAAACTCAGCGACGTCTTCAGTTTTTTTCTATTGGGCCTCGGTTTCAAAATATTGACCAAAATCCGATTTTTTTCAATGGGACACCCTATATATTAATAGCTCTTCAGAAAGCTCTGCTTTTGCTGATTTCAATGATACAAATTTCGATGGGTTTATCTCTAACAGTTTTCCAGAGAAAAAAATATTTTGGTTTTTGTCATAAGAAACAATGAGTTAGAAAGAGACCTTTCTCATTTTCCTCACAAATATAAAGACCTGTTTTAACACATTGTTTCTTATGGAAAAAAACGAAAAATCTTTTTTTTGAAAACTGTTAGAGGTGAACCTATCGAAATCGAGGGGTAAGTCACCCTTAAAATTGTGTACAATAAATTACCACTTTCTTCCAAAAATACCAATAATTACCAAAAAACATTAACAAAAATACTAATAAATACCAAAAAAAGTCCAATAATTACCAGAAAAATACCAGTAGTTGCCAAATAATACCAAAAAATACCAATAATTACCAGAAAACTACCAATAATTACCAAAATAATACCAATAATTACCAAAACAATACCAATAATTACCAAAGCAATTACCAAGAAATACCTACCAATAATTACCAAAAACCTAAGGATCCATGAATCTAAGGAACTTCTGCTGTTGCATACTCCTCGGCATACTCTAAGTGGGGCTGCAATCAGCAGGCTAACTCGCGTGACAGCCCGTGTAATAAAGGAATTCATGGTCGGGACGTCACTAGCGGCCATTTTGGGATACGAAACAGGGCCTGATTAACAATAATTTAGGTTTTTTTCTTTCGTGTCACAGAGTCGTATTGGCTCCAAATAAAGTTATTGATTTAGAAGGAAGACAATGGAATTTTATAAAACGTTGGCTATGGCTTGAGAATTTTTAGTTCTGAATCAACTGATAAAATAATTTAATAGGTCTGTTTCTTCATAAATCACAAACCAGTAAGACCTAATTTCATTGGTTGAAAACAGTCAGAAAACTAATTTCAACCAATGAAATTCACTCTGATTGGTTTGTGATTTCTGCAGAAACAGACCTATTATTACTTATACATAATAATATTTATAATTACCAATTTATTATTATTATTAAATTGACAAGAATGATAACAGCATAAATGACAACACTAAGAATACACTGAAATCCCAGCATCTAAAATTGTATGCTGTGCTAAAATTACAGCTTAAATACCGCTCTACACCGCACGTCTATGACCTCCACCAGAAATAAACAAGTAAAATAAAATTTCGGCGTCCCTGCCGTTCAATGACAGGACGGTATTCTCTAATGGCGGCGTGCGCAGAAAAGATGCGCGTGAGAGTTAGCCTGCTGACTGTTATAGTATAATATGCTGTGGTAATGTTCAAGTTATATCATAGACACCTGCTGCAGTAAATCAACCACCTCACCATAAAAGCTAATAAATTTCCAACCTTTTCAGTCAGGGCCGGCCCTTAGGATTTTACCTGGCATGTGGACTGAATATAGAATAGATAAAATATTATTTGTAGATAATTTTGTAATAACGAAATAATTATATTCCTTATATTTTTCTTATTTTCCAATAATCCTTCAATTGATTATTCAACAGAAATCCCGAGACAAAAGCTTTTTGGGTAATAAAATAAATGGCGTCATATGTTGCCGCGCATGCGCATTGTGTTCCGGCCATGATAAATACCAAATAAATACCTATTAAATACCAAATATTACCAAAAAAATTACCATAATTACCAAGTATTACCAGAAGTACCACAAAGAATACCATAATTACCATAGTTACCAAAAAAAAATACCAAAAATACCTATAAATACCAAAAATTACCAAGTGCTTGTACAATAAAATACCAAGGTGACTTACCCCTCGATCGAAATTTATATCATTGAAATCAGGAAAAGGAAAGATTTTAAGAGAGCTATCAATATATAGGGTGTCCCATTGAAAAAAATCGGATTTTGGTCAATATCTTGAAATCGAGGCCCAATAGAAAAAAACTGAAAACGTCACTGAATTCTGCTTAAAAAAGTGCCTTTAGGAAGTTTTTACGGAAATCAGTTATTTTTATAAACAAAAAAGTTATGAAGATTTCACAGTATTTCTCAAAATCGAGAATCGCCCTCTAGCGGCTAAACGGTAGAAGATATCAAAATGCGGTTTGCACCAATCAAAATTTCAATAAACCCGAGCCTCGGAGTGGGGGGTTCATTTTTTTGTATCTCGCTCAGAAATTGACGTTTCCTATTAAAACCATCCAAATTCGGACACCCTGTACATAATGTTTCTTATATCAGATATTTTTTAGGTACAGGGTGATCTATTATAAATGTCACCCCCTTCTAACTTTTTCATTTGACATTTTTGACAAAAGTGTCAAATACAAAAGTTTCAATAAATTGTAGAATGTTTTCAAGTGAGTTGATTTTAGGCATACAGGGTGCATCAAAAAAGTGCAGCAGTGTGAAGTTAAATTTTTTTACATGGAACACCCTGTATTTTGTGCACTTATTTGTTAGTCCCTTTTAACCTGATTTCAACGATATATGATTTGATAGGTCTATCTTCAATAGCTATAGGGAAAAACTTGAAAACCCCTTTCAAGGTTTCACATTGAAAAAAGAAAAATTATACCATTTAGGCTTTAGAGAATTTTTTTTATAAACAGTTTATTGTTCAAATTTTATTTATTAATATACAAGGTGAAAAATTATAATAAATCCAGATGTCTAAGTTATTATTAGTATTTTTAAAAAAATTACACGAGACCTATAGGAAGGGATTTTCGCGTTTTTTCCCTATTACTATTGGAGATAAACCGAGAGATAAACATATCAAACCATATATCGTTGAAATCAGGTTAAACGGGACTAACAAATAAGCGCACAATATACAGGGTGTTCCATTTTAAAAAAATATAACTTTACACTGCTGTACCTTTTTGACGCACCCTGTATGCCTAAAACTGACTTAGTTAGAAACTTTTGAAAATTTCTTAAAACTTTTGTATTTGACACTTCTGTCAAAAACGTCAAATGAAAAAGTTATCAGGGGGTGACATTTATAATAGATCACCCTGTACTTAGACTTACTTTAGTAGTTTAATTTTTATTTATAATTTCATTGTACTCTGGAGAATTTAGATAGTAACATGCTTTGTCAAAAGAAATTTGATTTTCTTGGATGTGTTTTTTGATTTGATATTGTTAGTGGTAGCCGCATTCATTGTGCAACAAAACTAACACTGAAAATGCAAATAAAAGTTTGAAAATAATGTCACAATAATGCTAAACGTCCGCCAGGCTGTCAAGAATCGATGGCGAAAATACTAGAATCTAGCGAATTATTCTACTTTAATCTGGAAAATTAGATTATCGTGTGTATTCTAGATTTTACAGGAATAGATTTAGGGATATATAAGAAGGCCGGCATTGATTTGTAAGTTAAGTTTC